TGATTTTCAAAAGTTTGTAATACATTTTTCTGCAAATTGATGGACGATCCGCATTTTTTTGCACTTAAACTGCTTTAGTGTGTATAATTGTGTGTACTTTAATTGGAAATTTAAAAGAAGGCGAAACTCGAACAGGCATTTAGTACATGAGCACCCTTAACCTAGTGTTTGCAGTATCTGCAGCTTCACCCTTGATAATTTGTTGTTTCGTTGTTATCAGCGTTATAAATTACACTGCACCAAACACAACAATATCACACTCAATAATTGATATGTCAAAATTACTGTCAGTTTAATAACGCAATGTGTATTTGTAAAGTTTATCAGATCTACAGATGCACCCGCACTAAGAGAAAAATGTCGAATCTCTCGCCGTGACCGAGAAAAATCGATCCACCCTCCCATAAAAAGTTATCACTTCAAAAAGCAAAATGTATGTAAAAGTTACACTTTTAGGTGGATTTGTAGTATTTGTCCTTTTACTCAGTTGTAACTCGTTTACACTCGGATTGTAAAATGCCAAACTCTCAAAATACTCTGTTTTAATATCCAGCGCCCCGATGATGACTAAAATAAAGCTCAAACGTTGGCCTCAGAAAAACACTGTCTTTTATTTCTGCAAACTTTCTACGTAAACGTCTTTCCTTAAAACTGAGAACAAAAAAACAAAATTTAAGCGACTTACCGCTATCAAGTAGACGATCGAATCCCAAGGAATCCTTGAGATGCACAGAACCATGATGAAGCCAAGTGATAATTTGCCCTGAAAAATAGAAAGGACTTCTAGAACTTGCTAAAAAAATAAACCGAGCTATTTTCACTATAAAACTGCCTCAAGCAAAGCGTGAATTACGTATGCGTTTGCACCCTCTAAACTGAACGATTACATTATATAATGTCCCATGTGCAGATAATTATTTGCCCTCGACCCTGCAGGTTCATAATACTTGTGTAGGCCCTGAATTCAGCTTTTGCCGCTACATTTGTCACAAGGCCCCCGTCAAATGAAATACTTGTTTAATGTGCTAGAAAAGAATTCGTCAATGAGATTAAGGTCTTGACTCTGAGCAGGATTACTTTTTGGGGGAGGAAATATGCGTTATTTGCCCAACTAATTTATATCCGTAGTGCAACGTAATGAACTTTTTTCATTGTTTTTCCTTCCAAATGACTCAATTCCCTTTATTTATAGATACGGAAATTTAGACTTAGGCAATATCAATTGTACAGCGTGGTTTAGAAATGATGCAAGTTCTTTGATGAACCAAGAAAATCTACATAATTTAAAGAAACGATGAATCTGTGTTCGAGTGTTCAATGAAACTGGCAATTAATTTATATACAGATTGTAGAAACTGTCCTTATTTTTGGCTACGATTTTAAAACAATATAATGGAGATATTTCGGGGATCAAAAAACACTTTGATTGGAACGTTTGGGCACTGCAGATGGCCAGCAAATAGTCCAGACTTATTGTCTGCGAAAATCTGTCTGTCTAAAAAAAAATGTTTTGCGACTATTTTCGTTTGGGCGTTTTTAAAAGGAAAATTCAGTCATAAGCAACCGAAGGTGCATAAAATAAAGGAAATACAATTCCATAGATTAAAAAATACAATTTATACAGAAATTGAAATATTAAATGGACGAAATCAAGGAATTATTTTACCTGCAATAGAGAAACAAAAACTGATTTATAGAATATGTAATCAACAAAACTGGGGACTAGATGGACAACATTCAATAATTTTTGGAATAATGTAGATATATTTTCTAAAATTTAAACTGATCGCTTTTGATATGAATACCTACAGTAGGTACTGGATCTTTACTTTAATTGTTTCTAGCTCGGAAACAGTTGAACTTCGACAGAGGGGATATTATATAAGGACTCATCATTAGACGGAGAATCCAAATCTATACACGTGCTTCAATAAAAAAAATTAGTTTTATTTTGAACGCGTTTTTGTAAACCCAATATCACATTTTTATTAATTGTAAAAAATATCCGAATATTTTCCACAAACTGCCGTACAAATTACACTAATATATTTCAAAATAACTACGTTAAAGGACCGGTCAACAGCAGAGTATCATAAGGTTACGCTTAACCGGTATTATCTGTTTCAAAATTATCATCGTCATATTGTAAAGATGCTAAATGCGCAAAAAAATCACAACTATACAGACCGCGTCAGAAAATGTGCAGTGCAGAAAATAACTTTTTTTCTAATGAAACGGCAAAATTTCATTTTTGCATTACTACGTAAACTTAAATTCATTTTTGTTACATACAATGAACGAATAGTTTTGTAGTCGCTAGGCTTTAACGATGAAAATTCTACCTTTTCTCCGCCGGTTAGACACAAAATTTAAATTTTTTCGAAAAACTCGACCAGTTAACTCAAGGGCGGATCCAGGGGGGGTCATGGGGGTCATGACCCCCCCCACATTCAATTCTCTATCCAACGATGCCAAAACGAATTCTCTGACTCGAATCGTTCTTGAGAAACTTCGAAAAAAGCAGCGCCATGTTCAAGTGGATTTTGCAACTCAAAAAATAACCACACAAATCTAAAACTTCTTGAATTCAAGCATTTTTTGAGAAAACTGCCAACATTTCCTTATCGATGGTTCACTTTCTAAAAAGGCCATTT